ACATGTCTTCCAGATACGATTAAACCACATATGTGCACAGCTTCTACGGCGATGGGGAGGGAAATGAGAAAACACAGTGAAAAGGAGCAGAAAAGGCACAGTTTGTGTGAGCAGATTGGGACTCGGAGACCATCTTTCGATCCCAGTTTACCAATCACTTCTTCCAGGAAGCCTTCCCTGACTTCTCTAAGGCTCACTTGGGTCTTCCTCCTCGGGGTCCCCCACAAGCTTTCCACCCAAGGTGACCTTCAGAGGCTGTCCTCCTGTTTTGTGCTGTCTGCCTCCCTGGCCAGACTCCAGCTGAGGGCCCTTGAGCACACACTGCACCTCTCATCACATAACGGGTCCCAGGGACAACAGACTGCTCTGGGTTGGGGGGGGCGGTGGGGGGCGAGGCTGAGCCCAGGCCTTTGAGCCCGTGAACTGAGTGTTCTGTGTTTACCCCACAAGGAAGGTGGGTTCCACCACAGCCCCCGGACTAATCCAAGTCTTCCTGTTCCTGTTCACCTTATCTTGATGAAGAGAGCAATTTGTTTTACATCTTTTGTAGGAGCCCAGGCAGTTGCGGCCCATCAAGTAGAACCATGTGGGGGTGGTGGTTTTCTGATTACAATCCATTAAGGCTAAGCTGTGATTTCTAAAGCTCTTTCATTTGTGACATGAGCCAAACCCACACCCAATTTCCTCTCGCATAGAAGGCAGCATGCTACTCTTATGAAAATGATTTTTTTAATTATGTTATTTTAAGCAGAAGCATAACTGAAAATGCAGATTGAGCAAAACAGAATACTCCAGTAGGCACACAAAAAAGAGGGCTTTTGAGAAAGGCAAGCAAGAGCCCACATTGGGGCCTGGATCATTTTAACCGTTTCCAGCCTGGTTTCCTGGTGAAGTTCGCTTTTTCCCAGCTCTGTTCAACACAACAGCAGAAGGGCTACTGGGCCCTGGCTTCCCCGATTGCCCTCCCCTGGTCTGAGCCCTCACTGACATCCCGTCTCTTGCCAGGACATGTCTCAGCCTTGTCTGCTCCCTTCCTCCCACCCCCACCCTGGTTGTCATCACTGCGGCCCATAATCTGTTCAGACCCTTTGGGTACGAGGCCGGTCCCGAACAGCGGGCGGGCTGCTCCCAGTACCTCATGCTCAAGACCTCAGAGTGCCCCAAGGCCCTGAGAATCTAACAGCGTCCCCTTCCTGGTCCTTTTCCATCAGCATACGGAGGAGAAGTCCGACTTTCCCCTGTTGTCCTTTCCAGTTCCCCAGGGGCACTCACTGTCAAGACAGAGACTGACTGTCTGTTTGTCCCTAATGGAAACGAACTTTTTTTAAAGGTCCTGAGACCCCCAATAAACGGCAGATGGAGTTTCTCCTTCCATCAAGCCCTGTCTCTGCCCAGTAGCGTCAGCATTCCAATCGGCACCCGGCAGTCCGCTGTTACCCGTTTGAGTCCACGTGGGGCAGCATCCCTTCCAAGAGACGGGGCTGGTCTGTGTGACTATCCCTGTGGAGGCCTGGTAAGGAATCTTTTCATCCGTAGGAGAAGTGATGTCACTCACTGGAAGGTGGCCGTGAGCAGGAGTGAGTGTATAATTCCTCTACCCAAGGCCTGGCAGGTGACCGCCACAAGGCATTTAACCGGGATGTCTTGCCAGAACCCCAAACGCAGAATGGCCCCAAATAGAGCTTTCCGTGCCTCCACCATGAGCACGCTCCCCTGTGTGTGACCCCGGTGTTCCCCACCTGAGTACAAGGACTGGTGTCTGCCACCCCCATGGCTCCCAGGAAGTGGCCCAGCGGTGAGCTTTCCACTCAGTTGGGGCATGATGCCCGTGCTGCCTTTGGGAAGGCCTTCCCTGAGCCGACTGGAGTTACGCTTACTTGAACTAAAATACAGACGTATTGGGTTATTTACAGACAGGCTTAAAAGGGATCAGAGGGACTTGGCAGCAACCCTGCCCTCACGGGGATGCGTGCATTGAGTCTTGGTTATTTGGTAATGGTGGAAGGCTGTAAATGAGTTGGATGGCCTTCTGGAACCCACGAGACACTGCCCCAGGATCCGAAAGCCGGCCCCTGGGCCTCCGCAGTCTGCACCCACGGGAGCCCTACTTGATAAGCTCCAGCTGCCTGACATGCTGAACTCAGAAACGGGCACGCATCTGCCCTGAACGATAGGAGCAAAAGTCACCACTCTGTCTGTGGGGTGACGAGAAAGCCTGCCCCTATTGTCGCTGCACAGCCCACACTGTCGAGGAATACAGATCAGAGATTAAAAGAGAGGCTCCTTCCCTCTGATCCTCCTCGGCGTGGGCGCCACAGGCCCCTGCAGGACCTTGGAAGCCCCAGCCTGGTTTTCTGAACGATTCTGAATTATTGAAACTGCCTTGTCGCCTGCTGAGTTCTGTTTTAGCAGTAGTGCGCCCCAACCCCCCCTTCTCTGGACGTTCCCACAGACGAGGGGCTTAAACGATCCTCATTACCTGAAATAGGACCGTGGTTACAAATTTGCAGCCTCTGTGCGGGCCAGTGCTGGCCGGGGTAGATAACACAGCGGGTTAGGGAGCTCTCAGGTCCCTGACCAAGGACCCCCAGGAGGCACTCGGAGGTCAGGAGCAAGGGATCCAGGCAGAGCGTCCCAGAGGAGGGAGAAAGGGGGAGAGGAAGCAGAATCCTAATAGGCCTGTGGTTCACAAATCAGTGCCAGAAAACAGCAACCTCGGGTGGCTTTTAGTAAGCCTGCCTTTGTGCACGTGGGCTCCCGCTGATGCGTGTGATGACCCTTTACTGCAGTGGCATCAAGCACTTTCTATATTCTCCTCCAGGGATGCAAAGGAAAATGAACGTTCCCTTCAGGAATTTGCATTCAAGCAGAAAACACGGAAGCACGTAATGATGGGACACCAGGGTTTGCCCAGTGGTAGACACAAGTATGAGTAGCTTCCAGACACACGTCCTAGCTCAGACCCTTCCTCACGATTCCTTGGTTGCCATCTGGATGTCCCAAGGGCATGAACACATTCAAGGTCACATATGCACGGTCCTACCCCTGTTTGTCATCTCAAGGAATGGCCTCCCCACGGGGCCCCTCTTGGTACTTCCCTCTCCTTCCCCTCCTTATTTCACACTCACTCCCTGTCACTTGGCCTCCCCAAGGAAGGCCTCTCAGGTCCAACCCACTGTCCCCACCTTGATACCAGCTCCTGTCACCTCTCATCTCAGCCCCTGATCGGGGCTCCCCTACCTGCTCGGGGCCCCTCCAGTGTGTTCTTTCACAGATTGGTCAAGAAACACCATGGCCCTTTCCTCGCCCCCCCCCAACAAGTGCATGCCCCCATGTGCGTGCATGCGCGCCCGCACACACACACGCATGCACACACTTAAACATGTTACCATCTCCCCATGGCTCTCTGTTGCATTTATGATCAAACCAGTACTTGGCAAAGTTGGGGGTGGTGCGTCACACCCGCCCCTCCAGCCACACTTGCTTCCTTTTTTGACTTTGATACATTTTTTAAATTATCATACAGACCAACTGGCCTTTTTTTTCTTTCAATAGACCGCTCTATGAACCCTAACACATGTTCTCATCTCCTTTTAATACCTGGCTACACCATGCTCCTTCTTGCCCCTTCTTGATGACCTTTCCGCCTGCCAGCCTGCAGGGGACCAGGTCACTCTGCTCAGCTCCCGCAGAGCTCAGCTCCGATCTCCCTTCCTCAGAGATGTCTCCTCTGCCCACCTCAACTGGGTCGTGTTTTGTGCCCTCGTGGCACAAACTTTTCCTCCACAGCTGTTGCGTGGTGAGGTAGATTGACTAGTGTGGCTCTTGATCTAACTCCTGGCTGGTGAAGCCCCCGCACACCCCAGGAGGAGCACGTGTGGATTTGTACTTGCCATCCTATCCCCTGTAGTGCTTGCCACTTAGTAGTAGGTGCTTAGCAAACACTTCCACGTGAGTAAATGGGCAGGGAGGTGCTCCGCAAACACTTCCGTGCCTGAGTAACTGGGCAGGGAGTTGCCTGCATGGGAATGAGCAGCCCTGTAGTCGGGACTTGGGGGAGGCAGCTTAGTGTGGTAGGCGAGCCAGTCTCCACATCAGACAGACTCACTCTGAATCCCTCCCTTACCTCTTTTTGTAGAATTTAACATCCTCCGAGCTTCTTGGCTCACTTCCTGAGCATAAAACCTAACAGCCTGTAGGCAGGAGTACGTGAGCTAAACTGCACGGTAGTCTCAGTCTTAGTAGGTGCCTGCATCTCGCCTTTGTGGGTGAGGGGAGGCCCTGCTCCAGACCCTAATACATCCTCGGGGAAAACCCGCAAAGCCAGACAAGTTCTCATTCTGCTCGGGGGCCGTGGCCCTTCCTGCCGCACCGCTGATTGAATGCTGCTGTCTGAATGCCTCCTGCTTGCCGCGGGGTGCAGGCGCTGTGGAATGTGCAGACCCCAGTCCCGGAAGCCCTGGCGGTCCACGGTGGAACAGTCAGGACGCAGACAAAAGCCGCGATGCTGAGCGTGGGCCCCGGGCTGCGTTTAGTACCTAGTACCGTCCTTGGGAGTAGGGAGCAGCCAGCCCCCCGGAGGTGGGGGGGGTCTTGTCTGGGTGGCCGGGCCAGCTTGGGACGGAGCCCTCCGCCTCCCCCTCCCCCAAGCGCCTCGCTGGCCAGGAGAGCCGAAGCCCTCACTCGGGGGTCCCCCGGGGCCGGTGCAGGGGTTTCTGCGGTCGTCGCAATGCGGTGGGCGCTGCGTGGACGGGAGCCCCGGGTGCTCACGTCCTGGGGCGGGGAGGAGCGGGCGTACTGAGAAAGCTGGGGGTTCTTGGAGAGGGCGCACTTCTCCCTCCCCCGGGCTTGTCTGCGGACAAGCCGAGGCGAGAACCCAGACTGGCAGGCAGTGGCCGGGCGGGCGGGCAAGGCCTGCGGCGCCGGGGAACGCTGCCCCTGTGCCCCTCTGACCACAGCCCCTCTCTCCTTCCCCCCTCTTCTCCTCCACCCGCTCACAGGAGCCTTTCTCCTGGGAGGGATCCTCTACTCGTGGCAGTTCCCCCACTTCAACGCGCTGAGCTGGGGCCTCCGCGAAGACTACTCCCGCGGCGGCTACTGCATGATGTCGGTCACGCACCCGGCCCTGTGCCGGCGCGTCGCGCTGCGCCACTGCCTGGCCTTGATCGCACTGTCCGCCGCCGCGCCCGCGCTCCAGGTCACCACGTGGGCCTTCCCGGTCATCTCCCTCCCCATCAACCTGTACATTTCCTACCTCGGCTTCCGGTTCTACGCCGACGCGGACCGGAAGAGCTCCCGGAAGCTGTTCTTCTGCAGCCTGTGGCACCTGCCCTTGCTCCTGCTGCTCCTGCTCACCTGCAAGCGGCCCCCGGGCGCGGGCGGGGCCGCGGGGGAGCCTCGGGGTTGAGACCCCCTGGGGCGCGCAGGGGGGGGAAAAACGCACTCTTTTCTGCCCCCTTTGCGGTGAGACAAGACTGTGTTGGTAATTCTGGAGCTCCAGAAGGGAAATTGCTGGGTTTTCGTACGAGATCGTACAGAGATTTGGTGCTCAGTGATCACCGGACGATTTTTCTTTTTTTTCATGATAACGTCCGAAATGCTCCCCAAATAAATAGGTTGGCTCAGGTGATAAATACAAAGAGAATCTTGTTCTCTTGAAGGGTCTTTATGTATTTCTTCCTCCAACACCCGTGTTATTTTTCTTCTTCCTCCTGTGGATATACAAGGGCACCTCTTCCTTCTCCGGCCACACACACTCACACACACTCTCTCTCTCCCCACCTGGCCAGCCGAGATGGCCAGATGCCCAGGGAGCACTGGGACTGCGTCTGTGGTCCTGCGTCCTCAGGTGTCTGGAGGGCCGCGTCCCAGGGAAGATGTGCGCACCGCCGGCCCTCCCTGTGAGTGAGCGGGGGGCCCCGGCTCCGGCTTTCTCACGTGTATTCTCAACCGCACATCCCCCCAAACAATAACAGAGTACCAAGGATGCGCTGCTGCCCGACTCCGGAAGGGAGAATTCCAAACGGTTGCCTAGGGGATCTCGGACAGGACTGCCAGCCTCGGGCCCACCCCCATTAGGAAGCGGAATCAAAGGCATCTTTATAGTTGGCTTGAAATGCAGGAGGTGTCTGAAGCGTTTCCTTCTGGAAGGGAGCGCTAGACTTTCCACCAGCAGTCTGTCTGCCTCTGACCCTTTACTGTCCCCCTCTGGCCTCTGCTGCCCGCCGGAGCAGGGAAATCCGGAAAAAAGGTGAGCTGGCCTAGCCAGCCACAGAGCTCACATTCTTGACCCTTTAGTAAAAAAAAACACATTTCTCTCCAGGTACCTCCTGAATCCAGAAAGTATCCCCGTATGTCCAATGGCCATAAGAGCCAGAGGCTTGGGCTGGATTCCTCTTGGGGATTTGCCCAGTTCTGGGAGTTGTGTGAGTTCACCTGTAGCCAGGTGTGGCATCAGTCACCTGTGGTTCCTGCCATCCATCCCTCACATGCACCACTAGTCCACTGTCAAATCCCACTTCCTGGAAGGTCTTGATGCTTAACAGGGTGTTTGCTTTACTCCGTCTCCTGGGGCGCTGCTGCCCCGTAGGAATTCATTTTGGGGAGTTTAAGCAACATTCAGACGGTCCCTGCAATGTGCCTGTTCTCAGACATTTCTAAAGCGTCCGATACCGTCTGACCCCTGTTTCTACTTATCTGCAATATTACCTCTTGGCTGTATCCCCGTTCTTGACTGTGGGGAACATGGCATAGGAATGTGTGCAAAGAACATCAACACCTTGTTGCAGCCTTCAGATGTGTAAAATGCCTCCATTCTCTTTTCCTGCCGCAATAAACCGGTGTGCAAGAACAGAAGCGTGTGTGAGGTCCTTTCTTTAATCACCTTGTATGATGACTCACTTTTATGAGCCAGCAAATGATTAGAACGCATCGGTATTTCTGTGTCAAGGCGGTAGAAGTGAACACACTGGAGGGAGGTTTTTGTTAGTTTTTTGTGTTTTGTTTTGGTGTGTTTTGTTTTGTTTGTTTTGTTTTGTTTTGTTTTGGTTTTGTTTTTAAGTAGGGGAGAGAGACAGCAGACTTCCTGCCCAGCACAGATACTGACTCGGGGCTCGATCTCAAGACCCTGACCTGAGCTGATATCAAGAGTCAGACGCTTAACCAACTGAGCCACTCAGGAGCCCCCAAACTTGATTTTTAATACTTGTACACTCCAAAGACTAATGAGCCATAATTATTAACCATCATGATTATTAAGAAGAAAAGCCATGACCCACCTGCCCTCACCCTCCCTTCGGTTTGGAATCCCCCAGTGCTCAGACCCAGTTTTCTCTCCGGGGATCTCCGATGTGAAGCCGGCTTGGGGATTTCCCTCCATGCCTCAGACCTCCCTGCGGACACCCTGTTCTCAGATGACCCCTCCACCTCCCCAAACCCCTGCCCCATAGGTCCCAGTGTGGAACGTGGATTTCAGGCTCCAGTGACCGCCTCCCACCCCGCCACCCTCCAGGCCCCAAGATGTTGCTCGCTCCCCCGGAGTCCTGGGGCACCTTGTTTCTCCACACCTGACCTTGACCACCTTTCCTAAGGACTCCATGCTCATCAGCATTATCGAGGTAGGTGAAACCTGTTCTTTAATGGTGGGAAGTCTTGCCAACACGACAGCTCCCTTCAGGTGTCACTTAGACGCATGCGGTACGGCCTCAGGGGACCCAAAGTTAAGTAAAATTAAAAAAAAAAAAAAAAGTCTCTGTGTTTGCTTTCCCTGGTCCTTCCCAAGTGTAGGACCCTTCTCCCCGGGGAACACTTCCCACCCCGCTCCTGGATTAGTGGACGGGAGCACAGCGTGGGACGTGATCTCTGGACTAATCAGTTTTTACTCAGGTCCTTCAAGCCACTTGGCTGCAAGTGCAGGACTAGGCCCCTGGGGGCCCTGATGGGGTAGGGGCTACAGAAGCGGGAGGAGGGCCTGGAGATAAGAAACGGGGTTGCACCGGGAGGCCGGTTATTCTAGAACACAGCAAACAAATAAAAGGGGGAAAGGACGCAGCCGGCTGCTTCATTATTAGCTTTTTTAAAAAGCGTGCTTCTTCACGCAGTGTTCCTTCTGACCCTGGGGAAACTGTACCAGCCTCCCTTTATTTCAAGAAAGCCACCGTATCTGTTCTAAGGATAAAACCACATTTCACCAGAGGCTCTGCCTCTGGAAGCCTGCAGCTGCCTGGGGAATGCCTTCCCTGCTCCCAGGACCCCGCTCTTGTCTTTTCAAACATAAAAATGGGCTCCATAGAAACACCTTTCGACACATGTGCTTTGAGCACCCCATTTGCTCGTTCTGGAAGAGAAAAGGAAAAACTGTCGAGAGCCGTGCTTGGCTTAGAAGCTCCCACCGCTAGTTCACCCTGGTTTCCCCCCACCCCGCCATCCTCCTCCCCTCCTGTCTGCTGTGCTAGGGGAACAACGAGGACCCAGCACTTCTCTGCCAGGCGGGCCATGCTGAGAGCAGAGCAAAGCTTTTCCTGCTTGTTGCCCCTGGTATGACGGGAGGCTCCCTCTGTTTCTGCTAGAGCCGGGGTCCCCGACTCCCGACACGCCCCAGATGATTGGATACTTGTAACTGACCACAGAAGGGTCCCTTCTAAGGACATGCTCACGTTCCAAGAGAAGAGCTCATTTGACTTGAATGGAGATGGGGATGTTGCCTTGGTTCTTTCTTAGGAATTAGAGGCCCACGGGGGATGACCCACAAAGCTCTGCTGCTGCGGGGGCACATTCTCTACCTCTGGTCAGGTCAGTGGTTTCAACCAACCAGGCGTCTAAGGCAAGAGGAAGATAAATAGGGTCCGGCCATCGATGTGGACACTTGGCGGACTGCTTTGGGGTCTTTCCCATCAGCTGTCAACTGTACATAACGTTTCTTTTTCTTTTTTTTTTTTTTTTAAGATTTTATTTACTTGCCAGAGAGAGAGAGTACACACAAGCAGGCAGAGAGGCAGGCAGAGGCAGCAAAAGAAGCAGGCTCCCTGCCAAGCAAGGAGCCCCATGTGGGACTCCATCCCAGGACCCTGGGATCATGACCTGAGCCAAAGGCAGCGGCTTAACCAACTGAGCCACCCAGGCGTCCCTGTAGGTACGTTTCTATCTGCTCATCTGCACAGAAGAGAAGCAAGCAGGTGCAATACACTTGCTTAGTCTTTGTTGGAAACTCAAAAATATTAGTTTCCCTGCATCTTGAGGCACAATTTCCTAACCAAAAAGAAGATGTGAAGAGATATTCTGTATCAAAAAAGCTCCGGCTCTCACTTCTTGATTTGGGTTCTGTCCTACCATCACTGGGCCCCGTCCCACCATCACTGGGCCCTGCCAGGCACACCGCAGAAGATCCGAAAGGCAAGACGCCTGGCGGCATCCGACCTCCCCGAGCTTGGGTGATGGGCCCAGCCTGGGTCACCGCTCATGGCAATCCATCGCAGAGGCCACCGGCTGGAAAACGTCCTCTGTCCTGACTCTGACCACCCCTCACCTCCTCTCCTGCCCACTGGCTTGGGTTTTCGACGTGTTTCTGGGCTTTGCCTGCTCTACCTGGAGACCACCACCCAGCCAAGCACTGTTCCACTGTATCCGTCTCCCTTAGGACCCATCAATATGCAACCTGCGTGTTGTATTTACCTGTCTATAGACCGTTCCTTGCTTCCCCAGCACCCCCATTAGACTCGAACCCCAATAAGGCAGCACTCTTTCTCACCGCTGTGTCCACTGGCGCCTAGAAGCAGGACTGACCCGGCCGACGATCAGTCAGTGACAGAAGGAAGGTGTGGGTGCCTTCCAGGGAGCCGGTGTGGGGGAGGGGGGGTGGCCGGAGTTAGAGGAGGGACGACTGTCTCTGCTGGGGTCCTGGACCAGCCCTTGAGGATGGAGGAGAGTGGCGCCCACCCCCTGGGACTGAACCTGGGGTGAATGCAGCTTCGTGTTCAGCAGACTTGACCAGGATGAGTTACTGTCATTTCTCGATTTCACACAGTTTTGGTTTTCCGAATGTGATAGATTTTTACCACTTCCTCTCTCTTTGGGGCTATCTTGGCTTGAGTACTTAGCAGAAGAGCGACCTTAGTCGAGTGGACCCCTTGGCCATTATTTCTCTCTCTCTCTGCCCCCCCAATCCCCACCTCTTTTTGGTGGGGGGGCTTTTTCAGATAGGTTAGCCAAGAACTTAGTGTCTTGCTACCTTTTTCCCCTAAAATCATTGGTTGGACTCCTTCCCAGCACCCGTGGGCTCCGCTAGCACACCGGTTTATAACTTAGGGGACCATCTGAGAAGTGCAAGCCGGGAGAACGGGCTCAAAGCTCAGGTTAAGGTCAAGAAAGCGAGTCGGCCAGATTGGGTGGGTGAAAACGTGGGTGGTGGGGGGGTATTGAAAGCCTGTCTCTCCTCA